AAATATAACTATCACCAGCAGACTCTTACTGCAAGAACTGTTAACACATGTTCTTCAAGCTGAAGAAAAATCATATCAGATAGAAGTTTGTATTTACACTAAAAAATAAATAGCAGTAGAAATGGTAAACATATGGATAAATATAAAAGCCTTTTTTATTTTAAAATCTCTCTAAAAGATAAATATCTATCTAAATAAAAAACATTAACAATACCATACTGAAGTGTATAACGTACAGGGAACACATGTACAAAGGCTGGAAAGGAGAAATGAAAGTATATTGTTTTAAGGTTTTTAGACATGAGGTGGTGTAATATTAACTGAACATATAATGTGACAAGTTAAACCCTAAAGTAACTACTAAAAAAAGAATATGAGGTAATAAGCCAATAACAGAAATAAAATGCAATAATAAAAAATGATCAACTCCAAAATAGGGAAAAGAGTAAAAAAGGAAATAAACAAAGATAGGACAAATAGAAAACAAATAGGTAATGGATTTCATACCCAACTGAACTACTATTTATATCAAATGTAAAGGGTTTAAACATCTTAATTAAAAGGCATAGGTTATCATATTGGCAAATATAAGCAAAACTCAATCCTATGTTGCTGTACTTTAAATACACAGAAATAGGTTAAAAGTAAATGAATGGGGAAAAGATATATCATGTTAACATTAATCAAAAGAAAATAGGATTGGTTATATTAATAATAGAAAATTTTAGAACAAAAAAATTACTAGGAATAAAGCAAGACATTTCATGATGACAGAAGGTTCAATTTATTAGGAAGACGTAACAATCCTAAATGTTTATCTACCCAACAACAAAGCTTCAAATTATACAAAGCAAAAACTAATAGATCTGCAAGAAGAAACAGACAAACCCCTATTATACTCAGAGATATAAATATCCTTTCAATAGTTAACAGAACAAGTAGATAGAAAATCAAGAAGAAAACATAAGACGTGAACAATGTTAATTGACCTAATCACACTTTCATAGAACACTCCACCCAAAACCAGCAGAGTATACAATCAATTGTACACAGAATGTTTATCAAAATGGACCATTTTCCTGCCCACAAAAAAGTGTCAAAATTTTAAAAATTCTATGAATATGAAATATATTCACTAAAAACAATGGAACTGAGTTAGAATCAACAACAGAAAGTCTTCAAAAACAAATCCCCAATTATTTGATCACAGAACTTAAATGAGGGATTAGAAAGTGTTTTGAACTGAATGAAAATGAAAGCATGACATTTCAAAATTTCTGGAATGTGGCTAAAGCAGTGTTAAGAGGAAAATACCTACATTAAAAAGAGAGAGAGACACATCAGGACAGAAAGAGGTCTCAAATCACTGACCTCAGGTTTCATTTTTGGAATCTATCAAAATCAGAGCAAATTAAACCCAAAGTAAGCAGAACAGAATTAACAATAAAGATCAGAGAGGAAATCAATTAAATTACGAAGAAAACAATAGAGAAAATAAATAAAACCCAGAGCTGTTTCTTTGAAAAAAAAAAAAAAATCAATAAAATTGATAAACCTACAATCAGATTGATGAAGAAATAAGACAAAAATATGCAAATTACCACCAATATCAGGAATGAGATAAGTGACATTATTACCGATTCTATAGAATAAAAGGATAACAAGGCAATCGTTATGAACAACTTTGTGCCGATAAATGAAATGGACAGATTCCTTGAAAAGTAGAGGCTACCAAAGCTCACCATGCTGTAAAGAGTTCACAGCTGCCCTGTCTCCAGAGAATTGTTCTTGGCAGAATGGAACCTGCCTACCTGGGGATGCATGACTCCTAAGGGGAAAACCTGCAAATAATAACCAACTATTAAAGGGATTAAAAAATTAATCTCTCTACATTTGTCTCAAGTTGGAACCAATTCTATGGTGCAATTCATGCTCCAAAGCCCCCTTGGAATCAGGCTGAAGCTAGATCCCGCTTCCAGCCTTATTTAAGCTTCCTTCCCTGGCCATATTCTGCTGTTCTCAACCTCTTCTTCCTTAGTTCTTCTCAATGAATTACTTTCCAAGAATCCGTTTCAGCCTCTGCTTATAGAAAATCCTACCTAAGATAGGGCACTAGAGGGAGGCTAGAAGGCAAAAGAGAGAGAGAAAGGACTTGCTCCCCAGCAATGACCCCTTATCTTGTGTTATGGATTAAATTGTGTCCCACAAAAGGATGTTAAAATCCTAATGCCTGGACCTGATTTGGAAATAGTGTTTTTGCGGATGATCAAGGTAACATGAGGTCATTAGGGTGAAGTCTAACCCAATATGACTGGTGTCCTTATAAAAAGGAGAAATTTGGATGCAGAGATAGACCTGCATAGAGGACGGATACAGAGAGATCACTACCTACAAACCAAGGAGAAGAACACTGGAGGCTGCCGGAAGCTAGGAGAGAAGCCCAGACACACTGTGCCTCATATCTCTAGAAGGAGCCAACCCTGCCAACATCTTAATTTCAGACTTCCAGCCTGCAGAACTGAGATAATAAATTTCTGGCTTTTTGTTGTTGTTGTTTGAGATGGAGTTTTGCTCTTGTTGCCCGGGCTGGAGTGCAATGGCGCGATCTCTGCTCACCACAACCTCCGTCTCCCGGGTTCAAGCGATTCTCCTGCCTCAGCCTTCCAAGTAGCTGAGATTCAGACATGCGTCACTGCGCCCGGTTAATTTTGTATTTTTAGTAGAGACAGGGTTTCTCCATGTTGGTCAGGCTGGTCTCGAACTCCCGACCTCAGGTGATCCACCCACCTCGGCCTCCCAAAGTGCTGGGATTACAGGCATGAGCCACCAGGCCCTGGCGAATTTCTGTTGTTTTAAACCACCTAGTTTGTGGTACCTTGTTAAGGCAGCTCTAGGAAAGGAATATATCCTGTCAGTAGCAACTGGCTTCAGCCTCCAATCTTCTTCCCACACGGCCATCATCAGCTTCATTTCATCATCTCAGGTTATCAACACCTGCTGGGCAGCAACCTTATCTACACAGCTCTACCAGGGCTCTCCAATAAGCATCTAGGTTCTATTAACCCCAACTCTTCCCTCGTCCTCAATCCCTAGGGATGGGAGTGGCTACCTGCAGTAGTGTTCCCCTTTCGCCTTTTCAGTTCCACTTAACTAATTCCTCATCTGTAATTTGCACTGTGAAAATAGCTAGCATGGTTTATTTCTGACAAAGACCCCTGAGTGAAAATCATCTCATTCCGAATTAAGAGCCTGAATCCATAACATACCTTATAAGATCCCATGCAATGTGGACCCTGGCTATTTCTCTGCCCTTGTTTCTGCCCAAATATTGCCTCGGTAAACACTTTTCCTGACAATGTATACAAAATTATTATTTCTCCCAACCCCGGCAGTCTTTGGCCATGCTCCCTTTTCTCTGCAGCATTCCTCGCCATCTGGTATAATCTATATCTGTTTGTTACCTGTCTTCCCCACTAGAATATGAGTTCCATGAGAAAAGTTTTGTTCACTGCTGTGTCCCCAGGGTCCAGATCAGGCTCTGGTACACAGTAGGTGCTGACTTTTGAAAAAAAGACTAACTGTAGAAAACACACTAGAAGCAGCCCTACCATTTTTGCGTCCATTTATCTGAATTATAACCAACCTTTAATTTGTAAAGGATATTTACCTCGCTTTGCTGGCCGTCCTTCGTTTGTGGAATCACACTTTAGTAGCAAAGTCTGTTGCACTTCCTTAGTGATAGTGCACTTTAAACTGTGTGCTTTCTTCTATTTCACAATTTACTTTTTGAGACAGGGTCTTGTTCTGTCGCCCAGGCTGGAGTGCAGTACAATCATAGCTCACTGCAGCCTTGATCTCCTGGGCTCAAGTGATCCTCCCACCTCAGGTTCCCAAGCAGCTGGGACTACAGGTGTGCTCCATCATGCCCGGATAATTTTCCTTATTTTTTTAGAAATGGGGTCTCACTGTGTTGCCCAGGTTGGTCTTGAACTCTGGGGCTTAATCTATCCTCCTACCTTGGACTCCCCAATTGATGGGATTACAGGGGTGAGTCACTATGTCTGGCCCAATTTAAAGTTTTTTTTAATGCAAATATTAGCTCCATTTTAAACCTTTAAAAATTATCAACTCCATCAAGATCAGCCACTCAGCAGCATTTATTGAGAGGCTGGTTGCTGTGCTAGGAGTTGAAACTAAACTATGTTGGGGTGTCCAAAGAAGGAAATACAATTCCTGCCCTTGTGGAGCTTATAATCTCATGAATATTCAACTTGCACATATGTAAACGTCTCAGGTATTTACCAATGATGCACAAAAGAAAATAAATAAAATATAGTATCTATACACTTGTTAGGTGAGGTGCAATGGTTGAAGGGCCATTCAAACTAGAATAACTCTTAGAAGAGGTTGTTGTTAAGCCTAAATTTAGAGAAAGAGACAAAGATGGATAAGTATGAGGGAGGAAAGAAAGGGCACTTGCAAAAACAGAAGTGAATGACAAATACACGGAACTAACTTAATTAGTTACCTGGAGTCTATAAATGAAACGTCTGCGAATTTGGCCTCTAGCCTCTGAGTTATCTATTCTGCACTTCTCCTCAAATGTATCAAATTATATTCTGAACTCAAATGGTCCTAGACTTTCAACAGTGGTTGGAGTCACTTTGCACTCCTTCCAAGTTATCCTAGGTCTCAACTGAAATGTCATTTTCCCAGAGAAGCTTTTTCCAGTCGCTTAATCTGAAATAGATGTTCTTTGTTATTCTATCCCTTAGCATTTCTTTCATAGCCTTTACCATAATTTATAACTGTAATTTTATTTGTTACCTTATCATTTGACTTCTATATTAGATTAATAACTACCTAGAAGCAGGGTGTTTGCAGTATTTTTCAGTACTATATACATATCAGCATGGTGCCTAACACTTAATATATATTTGTTGAAATGGAATTAAATAGTACATATTTCTGTGAAGGCCAGAAATCCATACATAAAACTGATTCCAAAACTCAAAATAATTTTATTTTAAACACTTACCAAAGTTCAATTGTCCTCACTTCTGATACACAGAAATGTATATTCATATAACTCTCTTGATACATACATATACAAACATATATACATAATTCACATACATGATATTTTGACCTTTACTTCTGAAATTAATTTCAATTTATGTCACATATTTCATTTTTTACAATCAATTAAATACATTCATGAAAATAATTAATTCTTCTAAAGTAGGGAATATAACTCTGGATAGGACCTATGAGGGAGGGATGGTCCAAGCTGGTGCTGGCTCATACACAATGATTTGGTGTACATTTTAAAAAGGACCCACATCCTCTGGGTAGACACAGACACACAGCAACATAAACTCTGCTTGGTGAACGGAGCCTGGGCAGGACTTCAGCTCCCACTTTAGGTGCTCTTGCACAGGCCATGACCTGCACATAGGTGGCAGTTCTGGAGAGGATTACTCAGTGGTGGTGTGAGCAGATGTGATCTAGCCATCCTTGGGTTGTTCCATTCCTTGCTAGAAAAGGCCAATTTGATTTGTCTGGATTATTTTCGTCAGGAAGGGGTCCCTTCTTCTTTTCACCACTCTGTCTGTTTAGCTGAAGAGGGAGACCTCTCCAATGAAAGAGGACCATTTTTCATGTTCAAGTGTATGCATGGCTATCCTCTGTTCCTTCAGCCTCCAAGGGGGCTTTCAAGGTTTAATCTAAAGAAATAAACCTGTGTTGATTCTTGATTCCTAAGAAATTATGCTGTCAGTCTGGTTGTAGGCAAGGGTTGCAATTTTCCCTCTGGAAAAAAGGAATCAGAAGTTAGTCCATTTGTATAACACTGCTTAGTAACTGTTTAGAAATTATATCAGTAACACTAAGAATAAGCTCAAGCTATCTCCTGAGTGACCCAATTTATTGACTTTCAGGACAAACAGTAGATGAAATCAATTCTAGTTTCCATATATCAAAACTAACAAGCATGTCTTATTTCAGTAATCTTTTATAAACTTTCTATATCTTAGGGTCAAGGGTTATAACAGATGCATAGTATTTTAAAAACAAAATTAATTTACCTTTAAGTGTCCTTAGTCTTGAAGTATAAGCCATAAGAAAGGCCTGTTTCAAAACTACTAACATGAATTTATCAGAGTAGGAGCTCAAACCACTGAAATATGTTTTTAGAAGGATTTTTACTTTGGAAAAGGAATATAAACCTGGCATTTGGGAATAAAGGATTGGATAGTGGAAAGCACCCCAGATTGGGTTCGAGTCCTTATTCTCAAACTATCTAATGAGATGAAACTACGCAAGTGATTTAAATTTGATGGGATTCATCTTGAGATCTATTAATGAGTTTAAAGTCTTAAAGTGCTTGCAGCTCTCTGATTAATTTTATATGAAAAGTCCTCAAAGCAGAAAGAATATCAGATAAAAAAAAAAAAAAAAACAGCCTGTGAGATTCTAAGTGGACTTACAATCACGTGTATGAAGAATCATGTGTATACAGCAGCCCCTGGGGAAAATGTTAAACGTGTCATCGGTGCCCTACCTTTAGCTGAGGACTGGGCCAGACATCCTAGCAGATTCTTTTCAGTTATTCTGATGTGTCACCTCTTTTGGGAAAACCTAATTTCACTAATATCCAGGTTCAGCAAGTGAAAAAGACAGAAGCCTTACCTAGCCACCGTGACCACTTTAAAGAAGTGATTAATTTAGTCAGCTGCCCACCTCAATCATCACCAACTTTTGCAATCGCTTGGCGAAATCAATGTCCAACAAATGAAGCAAATCCAAATATGGTGAACATTCCTCCATTGCCAAAATGGGAAAACTGCCTTGTCTCCTCATCAAAGCCCATCTTCTGGGAAATCAGCTCCTCTGTTAAATACCCAAGTGGGCTAGAAGCACATTTTGTGTGCAACCCTGTAGAAGCTCGTCCTGATGCCAACTTGCAGGGATCCAGTAAACCTCAAGTCACCGCTCTTGATAACGTAGACATCTTTTTAGAAACACTTTATTTATACAGACTTTGTCTAGCTGGGGAAAAGGTTAATTTATTTGTATACACGGGGATAAGTAGAGCACAGCGCTTCTGGACGCCCTTAAACTTGCAACTAATTCTTTCTCCAGATCTAACGCCTCTGTTTCTACTCCCGGGGAATCTCTCCCCAGGGACTGCGCGCGCGTGCGTGCGTGTATGTCTGTGTGTGTGTGTGTGTGTGTGTGTGTGCTTTAAAATGATCACTAATTCCGCGCCCAGCTTCTCTCCGTCCACCTGTGGCCCAAGAACCTGTGTTCCCAGATGGCACCAGCGGGGCCTGGCTTATTCCAGAACACATGTGGGGCCTTGAAAGGTGCCTCGGGGACTAACCCGCCCAAACCGAGGCAAACACTCTGGGAGGCCGACTCCGGCTTGGCTTGTGGCCCGACACACCGCCCCACTCCGCGCACACGTGTCTGTGACACTTCAGCGGCTTGCAGGACCTCCAGCGAGGATGTCTCCAAACCATCTCAGCCTACTCAACGGCATCTGGGATGTCCCCCTGCCTCTAAGTCAGACCCCAAGAAAGATCTTTGAGGACTTGAGCTTCACATTGAAAATCAGTGTGGAAAATGGGGGTGTCCGTGCGGCTGGGGGAGACAAAGGGGCCCAAAAACTCCCTCCCGTACGCTCCAGCCCACTTAGTTCACCCTCCCACGGGGCGAGGGGCGGGCCGGGGGGCTGGGGTGGGGATGGCCCTGGAAGGGGTCCCTCCCTTCCCACCTCCCACGGCCCACCCTTACTTACTTTCTCTCGGAGCCTCTGCTTGGCCGCCTTTAGCCCAGGCGATGCGGAGGGGAAGCGTGGAGGAGAGAGGAGCCTGCGGGCTGCAGCAGCCGGGCAGTCCCGGAATCTCCGGACTGCGCCCCTGCCCCAAGCCCGCCGGGAACCGGGGCCGTGGACGCCCCCACCTGGGCGCCGCGGCGAGGCGGGCGCGCTGGGTTCAGCACCCTCGAGGCTGGCTCCGAACGCTCGCGGCCCTCCCCCTCCGTCCGCTGCCGTCGCTGCCAGCCGCCCCTCCCCGCCGCAGCAGGGAGGCCGCCGGGGCCCGGGGGACGCGCTCGCGCGGGGGCTGCCCCCTCCCCTTCCCCCCACCCTGGGCGGGGGCGCGCGAGAAGCGGTGACGTCAAGGGGCGCGCTGTGGCAGCACCTCCCCGCGCGCTAGTTAAAAAGAAGAAGAAAAGAGGGAGCGAAACATGAGAGGCTGTGTGAGAAGCTGCAGCCGCCGGCAGAGGAGACCTCAGCATCATCTAGAGCCCAGCGTTGACCCTGCCTCCGCCTGCCCCGCCGCCGCCGTCGCCGTTTCTGTTCCTGCTACTGTACCACCTAAACAACTCCCGTTACACGGACAAGTGAACATCTGTGGCTGTCCTCTCCTTTTCTTCCTCCTCTTCCAACTCCTTCTCCTCCTCCCACTTGCCAGCCGCAGCAGAAAGCCCCTAACCCAACTGACACTGGCACAACTGAAAACGGTGTCATCTGCACAACTTTATCTCGCTCCTCGGGCTCCCCTAAGGCATTGGACCCATCGCCGCGTCTTTTATTTTTTGCAAAGTTGCATCGCTGAACGTATTTTTGTCCCCGTCACCTCCCTCTGCCTCTGGAGTGCCCTGCAGCCCCGCAGCCTCCTCCTGGAGCTGCGCCTTAGTGCCTCTGCTGGGCAGTGGCGTTCCCCCTCATCCTCCCGCGCCCAGCCCCTGCTGCTCTGGGCAGACGATGCTGAAGATGCTCTCCTTTAAGCTGCTGCTGTTGGCCGTGGCTCTGGGCTTCTTTGAAGGAGATGCTAAGTTTGGGGAAAGAAACGAAGGGAGCGGAGCAAGGAGGAGAAGGTGCCTGAATGGGAACCCTCCGAAGCGCCTGAAAAGGAGAGACAGGAGGATGATGTCCCAGCTGGAGCTGCTGAGTGGGGGAGAGATGTTGTGCGGTGGCTTCTACCCTCGGCTGTCCTGCTGCCTGCGGAGTGACAGCCCGGGGCTGGGGCGCCTGGAGAATAAGGTAGGCAGTCACCGGCCTCACGGACGCGTACTTGGCATATTGGCCGGGTGGGGTTCCCTGTGGCTCTGGCAAAGCCGGTGGCTGTAAGAAGGGCAAAACTTCTTTGGGGGAGTTCTTTTCATAACTTTTCTAAAGCGCTAACGTGATTCTGTTGTGTGTTCTCTGGGGTAAGCGAATAGCTTTCCCGCCCCCAGAGTCCGCGGTCGGGATGCTGTGCAAACTTGCCTATCTCTGAAAACAGACGCTTCTGCGGTACCCGCACCCTGGGCTGGGTAAATATTTTAAAAGAATCGCGATGAACAGTGTGTTTTGGATCGAATGGGGCACTGGCTGCGGTGAAACTGTAAATTAAGGTGGCTGTGGTTTCCGGTTTATTTTTCTAGGGTAAAAAGATTTGTGCCGTTTTCTCCACGTGCTCGGTTAGGGATAGGATTGAATTGTAAAGGATGTTGAAGCATGGTTGGTTTATGATCCCCAGCCCCGTCAGAGGGGGGTGTCTTGCATTACATTAGTTAAACCAACAGAAAGGAACTCTTGGTCCTCCGGTTAGGGACCTGAAAAACACTGGCGAAAGATTTTGCTGGGGCGTTATTTATCACGTAAAACTGAGACGATTCTTCGTCATTTTGTAACATTATAAATTCAGACTTTCAGGGTCAGTTAGGTGTCTTGGAAGAAGATCTTCTCTAAGAATTTGTTTTAAGAGTAATGGCATTTACGTTATCCTTGTGTTAATAAGTTTAACTAAATACTAACATGGTGTTTGTTGACTGTAAAGACACGCTTGTTTTTGAGTTTGCAATATCATTCTTGCCAGGAGATGCAGTCATGGGTGGTATTCACTGTACACCAAGGAATGATTGCTGGGTCACGTCATTAACAATCACTGCACGTGAAATAAACAATCAGGTGTCTTTGCTCCCCCTCCCTTTCCCCATTTTAGGTTTAATTAAGAATTCCTCTGTTAGAACACTGCCAGTTGTCAAGGTCTGAGAGACTCTTGGAAAACTCGTGCTTCAGTCTTGCTGGCCCAGGCATTAAAAAAAAAATACCCAGGCTGAATCTAATTTTTATGCTCAGTTCACGGTAGATTTCACTCTATTCTCATGTAAACAGCTCCTACGAATCAACATATGTGTCTGGGTGGTATCTCTCACTTTGTTTTGTAACAAAAAGCCATATTGCATCATTTAATTTGCTCAAGTCATGCAAATAGGAAAAAATCAATAGGACAAAAAGGGGTCGACTTATCCTCCTCCCCACTAAACTGCTGCCCACACACAGAGTCCTGTTGCTTATGGCAAAAGAATAACAACAACACCATTGTATTTGTTAGTTGGTTCACTAATGGGTGAAACTAGAGAACATCATTCTCTTTCAGTCCCCAGCTCTGTCCAAATGTTCATGCCTTTTGAGGGAGCATTTGTCCAACTCCTTCTATTCCCAGATGAGTGAGAACTGTCTTGCTGCAGGTTTTCAGCTGCAACTCTCTTTTTATTCTTACCATATGCAGCAGGAGCCTGAGATTCAGGGAACAGATATTCCAGGATTTTATTCAAAACAATGTCATTAAGCTCCCGTGTTGCAATTGAAGTAAGTTTCAAAATAGCTACATTCAGGTCACCTTAAAGGTTTTATCAGGAGCCCTAAAGAACCAGCAAATTCAGAGAAAAGTTTAGAAATATTTGCCATTAAGTCTCCCTTGGTGTAATATATACTATGAATATACTGATGATCTAGGGACCCCTGCAGTACTCAACTCTTCCAGGGACATATGGAATGAAAATTTTGTTCTTCACTAAATGGTGGGGAGAAGGGGAAGGGGGATGGGACCGAGGGGAGTTATAGCCCTTAAGAGAAGTTATATAATTTTTTTTAAAGAAATCATTCTTTAGGAAGCAATCTGCCATGTTAACTATACACATTCCTTTCTGTTTTATGTGCTTCCAATCTTCAACAAACCCCTACTCATTTGGAAAGTCTGTCTGAATTAAGTTTGGTACACTAGACTTTTGCTGGTTCCATTACAAGTGGTTTATAAACTAACAATACCCAAATTGTTCAAAACAGAGATTTGCTATAGCTATGCATATGCATTCTTGACCTATATTAGTTCTCAAGTTTTAATAGTTTTTAAAACATGTTATTTTATAATAAACTTCAGTGTTTCCCTTTTTCCCGTAAGCTTTCCTGGATTATAATATATGTTAGGATCTTATTTCATAATGTGTATACAGGAGAGATGATTGCTATTTGAAAGGGCCCTTTTTTTGTTTATGGAAGAAAAAAAAAATCCCCAGAAACATTTCTGCAGCTTTTCAAGAAACTACAGTGGTAGGTTTTTCCTACAGGAAGAAATTTCTTAGACAAATAGATAGTAGCAAACTAGGTAGGAATATTAGCATGCTCAGCCATACAATTAAGTCCTGTTTCTAGGCTAAGAAATTTTCTTTAATGAACTAGAATTGAGTTCAATTCTTTAGTCATGGAATTATGCTCTATTTTAATTTTTTATATATTTTAATAATGTTCTATATTGTAATAAGATTGTTAACTACCTTGACAAATAAGTACTGTCAAAATTTAGGAAGTCATATTATCTTAGCAATATTATCGCACTTTCTAAATACAGCATGCTAAAAGAATCTAATTCTCATTAACCAGATTGAATCTGCAACCAACTAAAATACCCCCATTTCTAAAACTTAACTTGTAGCCACAGAGGCATAGAAGCTCTCTCTACCTTGGGTGGTTTCACAGCCAAAGCTGTCAAGGAATGGGTGAAAAGTAATTGTTTTCAAGTGTGCCCTTTTACAATCATTTGTTTGCTCTGGCTCTTTCAGGCACAAAGGCTATTGTTGAACACATCCAACTAAACAAATAACTCATCCTGGGGTCCCTTTAACAGCTGCCTTAGTACAATGATCTATTTACATATTAGCCTAAAATTGAAACTGAACTCTTTAATGACATAATCCAGCACTATAGTTCAGAGACACATGTGTTCTACCCAACAGCTGAACAACCTTGTAGGCATAAGATTTTTAGAAATAACTTTTTGTGTACCAAGTGATCTTAAGGCGACATCTTAATATACTGTCATGTATTTTCTCCTTTTGTCCCCTCATCGAACCCGTGTGGGTGCCTTTTGCCCTCTTTGTTTAGTTACTTGGTAAATAAAGAGAAATACAGAAGGTCTCTGTCACCCATTTTACTATTTGTTGATAAGCTATAGTTGGAGGCCACGCTTTACTGTGTATCCCCTATTTATCTTACCCTTCTTCTATGGATTTTACTTTCGTGTGGCTAAAGATTAAAGGATGACCTGCCAGATGTTATAAATTAGCAACAGCCACAATGATTACTAGGCATGCTGTAATAATGTCTCAAAGTTTTACATGATTTCTGAAGTATATTTAGTTTTAACCACTATGATGGTTTTGTATACAGCTTTCAAAAATTGAAACAGGAAATTAGCTTAAATTTCTTCTTAAGATTGACGGCATCATCAGAAATAAAGTTAAGGACCTATATAAGACACAGACATATAGGCAAAAAAGAAGAAGAAATTACGCTACACACACCCAGACTCATCTGTCTAAAACCCTGTTGCAGCTTTGGCTGAGTCAGTTTAATTGACTTCAGTAAGACTATTGGTTCATTGAAACCAAAGCCAGAATGATGGCTCTATCTATCTTCAAATAGGTATTTACACTGCAGACCTCACACAGAGCAAAATGTTACCATCCTGCTGGGCCGGAACAGCATGAAACTTTAAAAAGAATAATATTATACTTGATTTCAGATAATTTATTGAATCCTACTTCTGAAACTTTTGATGAGAGATCTGTGGCCAGAACACATTCCAAAAATTGTAAAAGACAAAATTCCTTAGGCACTAAAATCAAGCTCTTCCTGGATAGCAGCTGAGAGAGTATACGAGGATCATTTTGTTTCAGCTATAAAAAATGGAAGCATGCATAATCTCCATAAAACCAAAGGTAATTACATTCCAGTTTTTCAGCCAGCAAAAGAGGTGGCTTCAGCATCCTGCAGTTGTTCTGTTCTTAGTGGACTGCTATATGATAAACAAACAGAATTGCTTTATGATAAACAAACAGAACAGAGTTGAACACTATTAATATTGAATAGATCTGGTGAGGTCTGCCAGAGTATGGACAATAAAAGACATTTAAAACATTCTTGGAATGCAAATTCTAAGGGTGTAGTCCATGTTTCCTTTTAGAAAATTTTATCCATTTAAGCAATTGTTATTTAAATAAATTGATAAGACTGTAAATATAATTGTGATTAATAATAATTTTTCTGAATATTGTAGCTACAATCCGTTATACGTTTTTCCAAAATATGATCACTTCTATTGGACTTGCTGCATACTAAAATTTCAGTATGTTTGTATTCAATTTTTTTTCATTACTTTGCTCTTGCAGATTCAAATTTTTGTGATGACCTGGAATATCATTATCCCAAAAAACAGAAGCCATAGATTTACCAAAATTAGAACCTTAATTTGTTAAAGGAATATTTGTTTAAAACAGTGCTCTAGAATTTAAAATGTTAAATTTGATTGATAGTTCTAAAGAAGTAATAAAGTATAAATATAGTTAGATGGATTGGGAAAAGGTTTAAAATTCAATTCCATTATGTTGTTTTTAATGTAAAAAATCAATACTTGATTTTGACAGCACTACATTTCCCAAGTCAAATATTGTGTTGATATTGCCTTCTGTATATATTAAAGGAGGTTCTGAAGGCAGGTTTTTAAAGTTACTGCTAAACAACAAGACCTATTCTGTCTATTAATTGCTAAACTCAATGAATCAGTAACTCAAATTGGTCTTATTGAAATAAAAGACATGTCACTGTAAAAATTGTGATGAAGGTATGCCATTTTTCATTAAAATTCACTACATATCATTCAAAAATACTTCGTTAAGCTCTTGTGTTTATTCATGCATATAACATACCTGAGGACCCAGTTAAAAAATTTTTCCTGGCTAAGATATAACGAATAATAAAAATTGGTTGTAAACCTGTTTGATTTCACTTTGGATATTATTTTTATAAAACATGAACGGCAAATCCTACTTTAGAAAACTTTCCCTAATGCAGTCTGCAGATTGAAAACTAATTGAAATTTGAGAAATGTAACCCAAGTATATTTTTGACATAATCATATTAAGAATTTCAGGAATGAAATAGATTTTCACGTAAGACACAAATAAGTCGTGTCTTGAAAAATTCTGTTTTGCATGCAGTTGGACAAAGGTTGGGATTTTAAAGCTAAGTATCATTCAGTATACACTTTGAGGCAGAATGAAGTGATAAAGTCTTAAAGAGTCTAAATATAATTGTCTTTTATTTTTTCACACCTGAAATACAGATGAAGTCTTTGATTTGCAAGAATAAGAAGCACTTTTATGTATCCCTGCCTTTTGTTCTCCCAGCCCAGTCCCAGAGACTATACTTGTATCCTTATAAAGGCATTCTGTATTGAGACACAGTAATTCTTTTCAGAAAACTTCATTGGCTAAATTAGACTTTTCTACTTACACAATTGCAAAAAAAAAAATAACTATACCTAACTTTACCTAACTAAAAAAATTGTTTGTTTCTGATTTATGACTTTCAGATATTTTCTGTTACCAATAACACAGAATGTGGGAAGTTACTGGAGGAAATCAAATGTGCACTTTGCTCTCCACATTCTCAAAGCCTGTTCCACTCACCTGAGAGAGAAGTCTTGGAAAGAGACCTAGTACTTCCTCTGCTCTGCAAAGACTATTGCAAAGAATTCTTTTACACTTGCCGAGGCCATATTCCAGGTAAGAAAAAAAAATGCATAAGTAAAATAAACCACTGCACAATATCCTTGTAAGATACCTGTGCTTAAATGCTTATTTATAAGACTTGTAAAATTTATCTTGTCTTTAAAATTACCTATTTTACCTCATAAATAACATTTTCAAATTTATAACTTTTATTGCGTCTAAAGGGAATATTGTAATTTCAGTCTGCAAATAGTATAATTGGTTTTGTCGACTTATTATATATTTCTTGTTAAGCTGATAATACAGGTGGTAATCTTTATACACATTGTATTCTCAATCCAAATTCCTCGTTGGTGCCTTCTTTACCCATCACCATCAATATCAAGGCAACGTCTTCTTCTACACAGCTGATACATAACTGGAGAATGTCCACTGACTTGTAAGATAGATCCTTAAACAAAATATGATTAGCAATCCAAAAAAGTAATATCTTACAAAGCACTTTCACATAAAATGATGAATTTTCTCCTCAAAACCCCTGTAAGGTAGGTAGAAACAGTGGAGTCCTCTCCAATTGACAGATGAGGAAATCTGAGCCTTGGGAGAAGTCAAATGCCTTACTCAAAGTTATACAATGAGAAGGTGATAGGAGAGATATGGACGTTCTCATGCATATAGTGTCATGAACATGCCTAGTCACTATTGTAGTTTGGACTCTAATAAGCATATATATTCATTAATTAATTTTTATCATCAAAAATTTGTAAACTTTTGTTACTGTTGCTTTAGTTGGAAGACTCAACACAGAGGAAAAAAATACTTTAATGAGACATTCTATTAGGCAAAGTCGCACACAAATCTACTGAAGATTAAGCAGTATTTAAGGAAAAGACAAGCTTTAAGAACTGTAGAATGCACTGAGAGAATTTTTTTAAGTGCTATGTACATTTTACTTTTTTCTCTGACTCAGGAAAGTGTAGATTTTCATATTTTTAATATAGCTCTCTTAATAACCTTATAAAATATTTTGACTTGGGTTGCTTGCTTCCTTGAATATAGCATAACATACATCTAAACCCATTCAATATGAAAATATTATTATTGTTTTCATAAACCACAGCCATGTTTCTAAGCCTTTTCTCAAGCAGCTGTTTCTTCCTCTTTATCACATTCCCCAGAGCAAAGCAGAATAGGTCACGGTTGCCTAGATGGCCTACAAAGAAGTGATAACAGATTAGATACCATAAATGTTTGCTGGAAACTTCAAGTCTTGAACACTTGCCTTTAGGACTATAAATTGAAAGTGATATCAACACTAAGCATTTTTATTTACCATTATCTACTTTAGATAAATACAACATGCTGGATTTGGGGACTTAACTGTGGGGGTCTTTATATATTTGAAGTAATTTTAGCTTCAAAAAACAATAAAATAAAAGTAATATCCACTGAAAGAGAGAGCACAGCAAACAGCTCAGAGCCAGAACTGCAAGCACCTCACTCCCCAGATCAACATATGTGGTGACGAATGACAAATTTATTTTTCTACAAAGTTTGTATATATGTAAAACTGCTGAAGTGCATCAAGATGTCAAGTGCTTTTGGTGGCCACCCAGGCTGCTTTGAAAGATAACCAGATGAAAGCTCCACTCTAGAGGTGGACAGAGCAGCAAGGGTGCTTTCCAGAGACTATGGAAGGCTTTACCCACAAGCAGAGGGGGCTGCCCCTGCGTACATCAAATGCTAATGATCATTCTCAATACTTGCCCCAAAAGTGAGCTATAGTAACACACTCGTTGCATTACTTATGCTAATCGATTTGTTGCCTGGATGGATCCTTGGCATGTAGGTTACCATTTCCTAAAGTACAATAAATAAGATGCTAATCCCCACCCTTCCCAGCCCCTGCTCCCAGCAAAGAAGTGTCTTCACAACTGTGGAACACAGATTTTTTGGAAATTACTATAAAAGCAAATTTTAATAGTTTTCCCTTAAGTTGATTTAATGATATGGTTCACTTTCCTCTGAAGTTCAAAGTGTTGGAAAACAGCTACATTGTGATTCTTTTTTAGAAGAAACTGATCAACATATTTTTGACTATCCTCATTAATAGCTTCATCTTTCTACACAACAAGAACTTGAAGAGGAAGGTACCCCGAGGGATGTATTTTGCTAAAATAAGGCAAATGCTGAAAGAATTGGGAGACAGAAAATAATTCCAGAGACATCTTCATTTTTTCCCTATTGCCCAATACTTGAAGAAATGTATATATAAATGACCTAATGATTTGCTTTGACTCCACGGCTTTAAGAAAGCACAGTCACTTTAGAATATTCATATACCTACAAGATAGCTACTTCCTAGAATGCTTAATCAAGAAATAGTCATAGTCTGCTTATTTTTCCAAAAATGGGAAAAGATATTACAAATCAATATAGTGAGTATATACTAGAGTTTTATGAATCATAATATTTTCCAGTTGTGAATTCACTTAGGGAAGTAAATTCTCAAAACTTCTAAAATTGCCAAAAACTCACTGCTCATCTCTGCAGGTCTTTTCTTCTGTTTAACTGAGCAGGGTAGCTACTTTGCTAATCACTAAAAGAAGGCATAACATACTCTATGGGAAGCATATCTAATGGACATCTATTGGCCTTGCTTCTTCCTCTATATCTGTAGTCATAATGATTTTTATCACTCTTCGACCTCATCTTCTCAGCAGTAGGTTATTGTAGTGTGAAATGTCTGCACACAATTAGTTCAATTGGTTTAATCCTGTTGCTAAGAAGGCCAAGGTCAAGGGTTTGATTCAACTGAATTTTTCTAGTCCTTAGCCATTCCTAACCCTGGTCAGTTAGCTTACACATGTGTCTTCTTAGTCCCAAGGAGAGTAAACCAGAAGGAGTAAATAGATGGATATATCAAAATCCACCACTTCTATTAGGATATGTTCATGAGTAAGTCTTACTCATGAAGAGTCCGTAACTCTTTTTTTTTTTTTTTCCTTATCATGATGAGCAGCACTTACAATGAGGAAAAATAACTTTCCCTGGAATACATGCTGAGAGAAAAGGGAGAACTCAGAATACTCCAAGGAAGCATTTATTTTATACGTCAGTATTTATCGGGTGCTTTGTGGTATAGCATAACCAGGCTCACTATCCAGGAGAGTATTTACAGGTCCAAGATAGTTGATAAATGATCAGAACTTAAAAAAATACAGCTGCTAGAATATTCAGTGTTTGTTCATTATTAGTAGACCTGACCATATTATGATGATCCTGAGTGAGCTAAACATACGCTTTCAGTAAAATGCCAAACAAAAGGGAACCCTGGCAATAAATGTTAAAATATATCTCCCTACTCATCATTGTTCACTGCAGAATCGGGTCATTTAAGGTAAAATATTAATAAAAGTGTTAGATACTTAAATTCAAATAAAATTACATGATTGTAAAAAAAAAAAAAAAAAAAAGCCCATGTATTTAAATGAAATCTTCTGAACTGGTTTTCACACTTAGGTTATTCAATTTGTCTAAATTACATAAGAAGCTTGGAGTAAACTTATTGTCTGTATTTTTTCTTAATTTGCTAAGCAGGCATCATACCTCTGGAGCCACCAAGTTTATGAATATGTATTCATTAATCTTTAGATATTTCATTTGAAAATGACTTCTCATTTCCTCGTGTTTGTCGCAGTTACTAATTCCATTTAAATTGGAATCGACCACCAGCATTGTTAATTAATTTCCCCTTAAGATGGTATTGGTTAGTAGACAGTAATGCTGAAATACACATGTTTTTTAAGCAAGCTGAGCATTTCTTTTGAATTGCATTTTGAAATTTTCCTGTGACCCTTCGGCAAACATCACATTAAAACTATATTTGTCACTCACATATCCAGTTATAAATATGACCATGGTGTGACAGTCTTCCTGCATGCATAATACAGGCATGGAGATTTTGTTGCCTGGTGGTAAATATTTCCAAAACAAGATCTAGCCCAAAACTGTGCAAAGAGTTTGATTTAACAATTTAGTTTTTTTTTTCTTTTTACCACTAAGAGACTTGTTTCACACTATTAGGCAGTTTTCATCTGAATGCTTACCCATTTAAGAAGGGAGGGGAAAAGTTATCTTTTGCAAATGGTGACTTGCTAAAGATGAGTAAATGCTTCTATGGCCTTCATTCCTCTCCCTAGTTTCTAATCCTTGAATTTTTTTCAAAGAAAGATAACTTTCTGATTGCCTTGCCCCTCCCGTGGAGCACTTCCCAGCTGCTTGCCTCTTTTTCTCTGTGCCCCCCAACCGCATGCACACACACACACACATACACACACACACGCACACACACGCACTCCCAAGGACATCTGCTCTTACTTGCCTGGTTGCCAAGACAAGATCCTTTCCAATAGCCTAGTCAGAAATTGGCAGTGAAGAGTCTCTCTCAGAAAGTTCAGGGTGAGACATTTCACTCAAAAGTTAGGTCAAAATGTACTTCAAGCTTTACAACCATTTGGGACCTTCACATTCTAAGATAAGTGTTAGGTTTGAGGGGTCCTAGGTCAAGCACACAGAAAGTAAACTTGTGGTGTCTTTTATGCACCATTGATGAGTCTCACTTGGCTGATTCCAAATTCTTAGAAATCCTTGCTAAATCTGAATTTGTTATACAACTCCTAAATTTCTACTGAGCTACTCAGTATGTTTATCACAAAATTGATGAGGTATGAAAATCTAATTTGTTATATAAAAATAAAAACTTTAGATATATGATATAAAATATAAGACCAGAAGCAACAATTTAGTTCCACATATAAGGCTGACTCTGGCAGCACCATCGTATTTTGAGAGCAGAAATCATTAGAATGTGGAAGTGAGTCTTTCTAATATGTCCCAGAAAGGTAACACCTTATTAACTCAAATTGTAAAGGTAATATCAAAACTTTTTTGTCATAAAGTTCTTTTATTTCATATTCAAAGATAGCTGTCTTTATATAATAAAATATTTAATGCATAAGAAAAGAAAAAAACATCTTTCTTTTAGATCCTGTTAAGTAACTCTGTTGTTATTTTTGTTTTGACTTGTTGGTATGTCAGCTTTTCTGTTTGAGATGATTGAAGGAATATTTTAAATATAATTTTTCTATTACAAATTAATCATTATCTCCTATAAGTGAAGTGCAGGAAAAACATATTTGAATATGGAGGTTCTGTTATAAGCATCAATTCATTGCTTGATCATTACACAGTGCATCAGTTGTTTATTATAGTATATAATGACCTTGTGTTATTCATCAGATTTATTATTTAATCTTATGTAAGTGGCAATACACTAAGATTTGTAAAATGACCAAAACTGGCACCTGATGGACTGTCTCCTTCTTGATTCTTGTTTGTTCATCTGAGGAAGTTATTTAGTATTGTAGGAAAAAATGCTAAATACTGATGATGAGATAAGCTCACAGGTACAACGTACAGTAGCTAGAGAATCTTGAAAAGACATCAATGCAATAGCAAGATAAATGCTGAGTTTGTCTTATTTGTACCTCACAGGAGTCTTTTAATACACAATACAATATTATTTCACTTTTACCACAATTTTAAAATTTAGTTTAAAACACAAATAGGAATCCCAATCCCTGATTTTTTTCCTTCTTTTTATTTAGTATGTATGTATGTATTTATGTATGTATGTATTTATTTATTTGGATAGTGTCTCACTCTGTGGCCCAAGCTAGAGTGCAGTGGCATGATCTCAGTTCACTGCAACCTCTACCTCCCAGTTCAAGTGATTCTCCTGCCTCAGCCTCCCGAATAGCTGGGAGTACAGGTGCATGCCACTATGCCCAGCTAATTTTTATATTTTTAGTAGAGACGGGATTTCACCATGTTGGCCAGGCTGGTCTCAAACTACTGACCTCAGGTGATCCTCCCGCCTCAGCCTCACAAAGTGCTGGGATTACAGGTGTGTTTTTATTACAGTCTAGGTTCTCCCTAAAATATCCATCTAGTTTCTAAAAATTGTTTTCCTCATCTTATATCTTTCAAATAAGGTGGTTTTACTATGACACTAAGTGTTTCTAATGAGTGTTTTTATGTTTTTTAAAGGTTTCCTTCAAACAACTGCGGATGAGTTTTGCTTTTACTATGCAAGAAAAGATGGTGGGTTGTGCTTTCCAGATTTTCCAAGAAAACAAGTCAGAGGACCAGCATCTAACTACTTGGACCAGATGGAAGAATATGACAAAGTGGAAGAGATCAGCAGGTTCATAAAGATAAATGCTCTTTAATCTTTAAAAAAACCCAACTGACAAATCTTGTGGTTTTGACAGTGAATCAACTGTCTGTGCTTATGTTCAGCAGCTATATCCTCCAGATGCTTTATTTTTTTCTTTGTGGTAGTTTGTTTCTCTAAAATTCTAGCTTAAATGCTTTTAATACTTAGACTACTAATCTTATATTATGAGCTTGGCTTCTCTATGACTCATGTGAATTTTATGGGTATAGTTTTAAGCCTGAATTTTATGATTGTTGTTAGCCTATGGCACTGTGAAAATGTTCAGCTCAATTACTATTGGCAAATCAGATTTTTCTAAATAGATCTTAGAACTTTCTCTCTACATGCCTTCCATAAGGTTTATTTATTGTGAGTAAAACTGATTTTAATTATAGTCACTGAAAGATGAAACAATGAGATTATGACTTCTGAAAATATATACATGTTTTGATTCTCTTATTTTACTTTCTGATAGAAGGCTGTTCTGTTGTTTGCCATTGAAAGAATTTAAAAGAACCACTTAAAAGAATTATATTGTAACCCTTGGGTTAGCAGCACTGCATGGTTCTCAAAACCATGATTCCTAGAGGAAATAGAGTTTGAAAAGGATGCCAAGTGCATCCCTTATCTCCTTCATCTCAAGAAAAGCTTACTGGTTTTCTTTAATTTGTTTAGAAAGCACAAACACAACTGCTTCTGTATTCAGGAGGTTGTGAGTGGGCTGCGGCAGCCCGTTGGTGCCCTGCATAGTGGGGATGGCTCGCACCGTCTCTTCATTCTGGAAAAAGAAGGTTATGTGAAGATACTTACCCCTGAAGGAGAAATTTTCAAGGAGCCTTATTTGGACATTCACAAACTTGTTCAAAGTGGAATAAAGGTTGGCTTTTTAAATTTTATTTATTTTTGTGCTGGCTATGTTAATTTTATTTTAGTGTTACCTTCCTCACTGAAGGTATTTCTTTGTAATAAAAGAAAGAATCTTGCAGGAGAAAATAAGGCGACCACATAAGGAAACAATAATTACAGCACCTGAATTAGGACAGTGACATTAAATTTCTGTTATTTGTTGACTATCGTGCAATGCAATCGAATTGATATCTGACATGCTTTCCCCATGTAATTGACACATTTAAAGGAATCTTTGGCTTTATAAAGTATTTGTTTAAATATTGTTTAATGGGCATAGCACAGGATTGTACATCCATTTGCTAGTAGAAGCAAAGAGGTCTTTTGGTTATTTTGGCAATTGGAAATCATTCTTTCACCATCTCTGTTTTTGAGTCTGTCTCATAAAAAATACTACTTATACTATGACTTCCTTGTACAATGTTTTTACAGGTAAGTCAAATATTTCTATAATTAGCCATCTATATAACATATATTGCCCTCTTTTTCACTTCTCTAACTTGAATTCTCATGTTAAATAACCTAGGTATGTAAACAAAATTATTGTCAAGTTTGTTTCACAAGAGTAACACAGTACATTAGCAGTACTAAACTATAAAGCAAATTATGACATTCTAAAATTAAGACACATGTAATAGCTCATGCCTATTTTAGAGTGAAACAAAGTAACAATATGATTTGGGAAGAACTGGTTATCCTTTTCATTTCTTAACTGAAAAAAAAAAAAACCTAAAGGAGGATTTATAGTCTTCTACTCACATAGAAATGAGCTCTTTCTTGCTTTGTTGTGCTGTGCTCAGTGGTAAGAAGACCCAAATCAGAAGAAACAAGTCAGGAAAAATACAGATATATTCCTGCTCTCTATTTCATTTTCTTATTGTGTGAGAGTTAAGATGACTCCAGTCTTTACTTTTTACCATTGTAAATAATGTTATTTATTATTCGTATACATTTTACTTAATCTGGTCATGGATGACTTCCTTAATATTCATTTACAGGAAGGGCATCACTGAGTTGAAGATTATAACCATAATACATATTGCCAATTAGCTTTAAAAATATTTTCAGATATTTGAGAATAATATTAATTATTTGAGAGAATATTAATATTAACAATAGTTTTTAAATGTGCTTTGAGTAAAAATGTTAGTATTAAAAAGATATGTATGATATAATGTAGATGTAAGGAGGGCTCAGAATACTGGAAAATGGTTTTATAACAAGAACTGATGTTCTTGTTTCTACCTCAATTTGACTGCCTTTTAAATCAGTGTTCCTTCAGCATCCCTATTTCAATTTATACCCTTCATAGGGATATCTGATGATTCATTAGAATATTCAGCTCTGACATGGAGATGTTTCATCATGCAATAAAATTGTACAAGCAAGGATATAACAATGCCTTGGTTCTGAGTATGTGTGTTTGGCAGTCTTCTAGGAATTCTGCACAACTTGGCCAAATTTGCAAGAAAACTTGCAGAATTTGGACCTCCTTTTCCAGAAGAGCTCCCGAGTTTTAGGGGCCTAAAATATACTTCAAAATCTATTATTCTAGCGACTGATATGACATATTTTAAGGTGCAATATTTTAAATTCCTTTGGTGTTTTAGCACTAGTTATGCCCACAAGATAGGAATATATCACATGGATATCAGAGTGTGTATAGTGAGTAATGAGATCACATCCTTCTTACTTCAAGCAGGTTATGCTGCAGGTGGCCTTTATCTCAGTGTCTATGGAACTCCCTGATTGGAAGAGTTAAACAAGGCCACTGTCAGTATGATGGGGCAAATACCATCACATTTATGAGTTGATCATAGCACTGATTTTGGTGGTTGCCCCTCAGATACTTGTAATGTAAAAGAGTTTTCACAGCTATTTTTGGCTTCTTTAATATATGAAAGTTATCATATATTTATGACAGGATTCTGTGTTTGTCAATAATCATTTTGCATAAGTAATGCTTATACTTTATGAATTTTCATAAATTATTATACATATCAACTCTTCTCTATTTTTTCAGTTTTAAAATCCTAAGAGAGGGCATAAAGCTGTTTAACAGACTGAAGTATTAATTGCAATACTCAAATCACAGAATTGGTAATACATACTAAACCCAGCCTCCACATGTTTGAAATTGAGAATAATAAACACCACAGGGCAGAACCCCTTCACGATTACATTAATTGATGACCAAGAGGAATATGTTAAGTCAGACATAAGAAGGAATTTCTGATTATAAGAGTTTCTAAAATATATTGCTAGCTATAAAAAAAAAATCTGGCATTCCTTGTCTGCTAATGTAAATTAATTAGGAGTGATTTCTGTCACATGGTAAAGGCTGACCTTTTTGTGGCGAACAGTTGGACTTGCTTATCTCTTTAAACCTCTACCAACCCTGATTCTTACAACTGCTTGAGAGGGATACCATCAGCCAAGAGCCAATCATAAGGGAACTTGGACAACTCTTCCTAAATGGGTCCTGACTGAAGCTAAAAAGATGACGTCTTTTTTTTAAACACCAAGATCGTGCTGTGTAAATTGTAGGAGATTGTAGTACCCTGGGGGCTAAACTGTCTATAATTCCAGAGAAAAAGTTAATCTGCAAAAAATGCAAAGCGCAAGCTAAATAATTAACTTCTTTTTGCTATAGAAAAAAAAGTTGTAGCATTGAGATTAAAGAGTAAGTCAGGAATATGTTTTTAAAATATGTAGTGATTTGATACGTCTTTGATGATAGTGTACTCTACAAGCCAATCACTAATACTGGCACTGTGAAGAATGGGCCACGTGTCAAATTGATGAACAAACTTTAAAACTTTCATTGTGTGTGTGGCTGTGTGTGTGCATGTGCACATGCAGCATTGTTATTCTGTTGTTATCGTTTTATTCCAAAGGGCAAAAATTACAAAAATTTTACTATCGCCCAAAAGAAACACTTCTTTAAGATACTCGGTGATTTGAAATCTTTAAATTGAGCTTATATCTGAGCTCTTAAATCAGAGCTTCTGGCAAGTACTAGAACCAGTTTTGTCTGTGTAAAGTCCTTGGCAGTGACAGACTAATGGCTCTCAAGAATGGCTTCACAGTACGATCACCCAGAAGCTTTCAAAAATTCTTATAGCCAAGCTGGGTGCGCTGTCTCATGCCTGTAATTCCAACACTTTGGGAGGCCAAGGCAGGAGGATTACTTGAGGTCAGAAGTTCCAGACCAACCTGGCCAATATGGTGAAACCATGTCTTTAATAAAATTACAAAAAAATAAATAGCCAGGCATGGTGGCATGTGCCTGTAGTCCCAGCTACTCCAGAGACTGAGGCAGGAGAATCACTTGAACCTGGGAGGCGGAAGTTGCAGTGAGCCCAGATCATGCCACTGCACTCCAGCCTGGGCAATGGAGTGAGACTCCATTTCAAAAAAAAAAAAAAGAAAAAGAAAAAAACCAACTTCTTGTACCCCAAAATAGTCAGTCAGAATATCTGGGGTTGGCACCCAGGCATCAATATGTTTTTAAAGCTTTCCCAGGTAATCTCGACATGTAGCCAATTTGAAAACCACTGATAGAGACTGAGCCAAACTTCTGGGTCAGTTACACATTGAATGAGACATATTTTCTCTGCCAAGCCTACACCCAAGTCCTATTCCTGACTTAACAACTAAGAGCAGGTGGTTGGACATCAGTTGTCATTTGCCCTGTACCTTTTCTCATTTACTTAGTTTATATATATATCTTATCCAATTTGAGTGAGGAATTGGGTTAATTCTGGCAACATGTAAGATGCTTGATATAAAGGATACGAAATACCATTTGAAAAAAAAATGGTATTTAAAAATCTCAAGTTAATTCTAACTGGGAAATGGCTTTACCCATTAATCTTTTTCTGTTTTTATTCCATTTTGGAATCTGGTGTTCAGCTAGTTGGTGAAATTGCTATTATTCTTGTTCTTAAAACATGTGGATTGTGATTATATATGTAAACCCTTGTTAAAAGCGACAAGGCCACCAGAAGATACTCTAGTGTAATTTCACCAAAGCGCCCCTGGCTGCCAAGAATGGGAGAGTCAGCCTTAGCTTTGCATGTGTGTTAAAGGAAGGACATGCCCGCACCTGTCACTTGACAGGGTGGCCCCTCAAGGAAACTAGCAAACACCATTCTCTGCCACTTAGTTCTTGCGAGTGGTCAGAGGACAAAGAGGTTCACACCCTCAGCAGCCCTCGGCTGGCAGCACACAGCAGACACAGCTGAAAGGCTTGTCTATCATTGGAACAAGTGTCACTGGACTCCTGTCCCTCTCTATCTACTTGGATCCTCATTTCAAAAGATGCTTTTAGAAGCAGTCCTTTTACCAGGGGAGGAGAGGACATGAGGCTGAAAGCTGCTAATTGTCCGGGTGACTGAGCCAATTGAGGTGGAGCTCTTGAGAGACAGCAGTCCCGGTGCCCGGGAGTCACAGGAGCATGTGGAGGAGGATGCAGGGTCCACCAGGGCAAGCCCTGATGGGGCAGCCTCTGGTTTCACAGGCTTGTAAATCACAAACATAATAATGAGTATCAAAAATTTAGTGAAATCTGAGTCCTCATCAACCATGGAGGCTGATGTTCCATTTCTCTGAACTTTGTCAAACCTAAATTTTTACATTTTTTTCTTTGACTTGCAACCGTAAGGTAACCCATGAAGCATTAAGTGTGTTTTTGCTTGAGTGAAATGAGTCAAAGAAGATTGAGAAGCAATTTATTTTTCAAAAGTAGTATTGGTAACACAGCATGCATACACATTATACACACATACACATATGGTGATTATTAGATCATGTAACAAATGCTTCCCCAGAAAAACTGCTGAGAACTCTGCTTTTAAGTACGCGCTAGGTTAGAATAAAGCCCGTGTTAATAGAAAGAAAGCAACAGATTATATTTGTTAAACATTATAGTAGAAGAATCACCATTGTGGCACATTTTTGTATACTGAA